CCATGCTGTCATGCTGCACAACTTGATGTCGTCGTCCTCACTCCTGAACAACGCATCACCGCATCTGCTGTGGACAGGGAAACAGGGCAGCACAAAAATGTTACGAGTTTTCGGGTGCATGGTACAGTACCGACCCCCAGAAGCACGAGCGGGAAGATTCTCACAACGGGCACAGTGGGGACTACACCTCGGCATCGAAAAGAATTACAACGCGTGGAAAATCTTCGATGTCCACTCAAAGGAAACAGTAGCAGCACGTGATGTGATGTTCTACGAGCGACTCACCCTTCAAACGTACCTCGCCAACTTGCACGAGAATCAGGACCCCACAGGTGGCTTTCGTGGTGACCGAGCCTTTGCCTCAGCAGCGGACGAAGCAGACTGGGATGAACAGAACGTCGACAGCGCATCGGAAGAAGCCGGACCTCTCCCGTTCTGCTCCGTCGACGTGCCCATGGACGAAGACAATCCTCGCGACAGTGTCAACGCCGAAGTCTTCTATCACTTCGCCGACAACGGTTACGTAACACCTGCGACAGTCAACACAAATGAAGCAGAACGGATAGGGCCGAATTTCATACCCGATCCAGAAGCGGGAGACGAAGCAGCTTATCCCAAGGATCCAACACTCCCCCGATACTCACAGACTGGACTGCAAATCCTTGGCCTCGTCACCGCAGTCCACGGCAACGCACTTCCTAAGGAGCCTGCGACGGTTCAGCAGGCTTTGGGGGGGGAACACAGGGAGAAATGGCGTGAAGCCATGGACAGAGAATTAAAGGCATTGGAGGAACGCAACACCTGGAAGGTCGTTCCCGCAAGCGTGGCAAGGAACAAGACCATACTCACCGGGAAATGGGTCTTTCGCATCAAAACGAAAGCAGACGGCACGATCGAGAAATTCAAAGCACGCTGGGTCGTGCGTGGATTCGACCAGGAGCAAGGACGAGACTTCACCGAGACATTCGCCCCAGTTAGTCGACATACCTCTCTCCGAATCCTTCTCGCCGTTGCCGCCATGAAGAAGAAGATGCTGCGACAAATTGATGTCGCCAACGCATTCCTCTACGCACCCGTCGACGCCGAAATCTTCGTCGAACTCCCACACGGTACTCACGGGAAACCCAATCAGGTTTGCCAACTACTGAAATCGCTCTATGGAATCAAACAAGCCCCGCGGCTGTGGCAACAGCACCTACACACCCGCCTCACCCGCATCGGATTCCGCCAACTACCTCACGACCAAGGGAAGTACCGACTCACCAAAGACGCAGACTACATCCTGCCGATCGTCTACGTCGACGACCTACTCTACATCGGCTCCACCAACGACATCACCTCCTGGTTCGAAGGGGAGCTGCAGAAGGACCTCACGCTCACGGTTTCTTCTACCGTCACCCAGTACCTCAGGCTCAACATCCGCGAAGAAGAGAATGCGATCTACCTAAGCGCCGAGAAATACGCCGACACTATCGCCAAGCGCTTCTCGCTCACACCTACCGCTATCGCCACGCCATACCGCTACACGGCAGGAAATGACAAAGGAAATTCCGCTCCACTCAAAGCTGCTGGAATACGTGACTACCAGAGGAAGTTGGGCTGCCTCCTCTTCGCAGCCGTCACCTGCCGCCCGGATCTGTCCTACTCCGCAAGTCAACTCGCCACCTACCTCAAGAAATCCGAAGCAGAGCACCTGGCGGAGCTCGACCGCGCACTACACTACCTCGTGAGCACACCGACGATCGGCCTGACTTACTACAAGAGCGAAGCTACATCAACGAAACTAATCGGCTACGTGGATGCCGACCATGCCGGCATTTCAGATAACAGGCGCTCCCGCACTGGCTACATCTATCGTCTCGAGCCTATCGGACCTATCTCCTGGCAGTCGAGTAAGCTCGCTCTCTCTTCAGCTGAAGCAGAATATATCGCCCTCTGCTCAGCCACCAAGGAAGGACTCTACCTTCGCGAGCTGCTGGAAGAAGCAAAGTTAGCCGAGTTACCCAACTTCACCCTGTTCTGCGACAACCAATCTGCGATTCGCATCGCCAACAAAAGCGGATTCGCGAACAGAACGAAGCATATCGCTCTGCGATACTTCTTCGTGAAAGACGAGATCGAGAAAGGAAAACTCGAATTATCCTACTGTCCCACGTCCGAGATGGCAGCCGACTACTTGACCAAGAAGCTCGGAAAACAGAAGTTTGAGTACTGCATGCTGCTGACTGGACAAAGCCACGTCACGTCACCATCAGCGACATTCCAGAAGCGAAGGGGAGTGTTGGGAACAATAAGTCTAAGCGCCTCTGTCGTGTCGAAACTCAGGACACAAAGCGAAACAGCCCAAATCGAAGCATCGCGAGTCAACCCTCGGAGGTTAGGGTAACTGCTGGAGGTTACGAGAAGGTCAAAGGTCAGCGACCTTTGACTTGACAAATGCAGCGCGACAGCAAGGACACACAACTGACTCGACATTGAGCAGTTGCCCGAGTCGCACTGTATCGAATCGCAACAGTAAAACAGTTTAAACCTATCTATTCGTATTCCTTGTACTCTTATATAAACCTTTGTATTTGCTTGTTCTATCAACTTACTTTGCCCTCACATACCAACGCAAGGTGGTTCAAACACTCTTTATTCAACGCTTCCGCTGTTACAATCCTACTCAGACTTTAACTCTACAAAGATCCTAGGGCACCTCAGCCCAACAACATGTATGTGTCTATGTGCTTGTGCATTTGTATTTAGTTATTCAGGTACCATGTCGCCAGCAAAACAAAGAACCAAAGATAACACCCCCTTGGAATTCCACAGCTTTTTCCTAGCCTTTTATGAATGCACCATTCACTGATGAACGTGAGCGAAATCAGGTACTGCAGGTATAGCAGGCAAGGCAGGGCATAATCAGCGACGGCCTGTCGTGGCAGTGTCTTGTTGTGGGGGGAGGGCGTAGGGGGTCAGCTCCCCTATCTCTGGGTGATCGCCCTGTGAGCAAGAGGGTGGGATTGGAGGGGCGTGAGGCAGAGCTATGCTACCACATGCCAGGGATTTCTGGCTTGCTTGGAAGAATGCTACAGATGGAAGTACTGTGAAATGCTGCGAGTTAAACTGAGTGAGACTTGGGAGGGCGGTGCACTAAGTGGTGGGGTACGGGAGGAGAGTAGAGGCATGGGAAGGTGGTTGTGGACAGGTGTGCATGGAAGCCGAGGGGTGATTGGCTGGGAGATACATGTGACATGATCAATGATGCGTGTGTGTGTGGGAGCACACGGGCATGTGCACGTGCATGTGCATGTGCATGTGCATGTGCATGTGCGTGTGCGTGTCCAAGCACCCACCTGCAGCTGGCCAATGTTCCACTCATTGCGGAACAGCAGCACCGGCCGATCCCACTGCACACACAGCATGAGCCAGCAGGGGACAGCATGGGCAAGCAAGCAAGCAAGAGGTCAGAATCCACTTTTGAGTCAACTCGATTGAAAGCAGCAGCAGCGGCCGATCCCACTGCACACACAGCATGAGCCAGCAGGGGACAGCATGGGCAAGCAAGAGGTCAGAATCCACTTTTGAGTCAACTCGATTGAAAGCAGCAGCAGCGGCCGATCCCACTGCACACACAGCATGAGCCAGCAGGGGACAGCATGGGCAAGCAAGCAAGCAAGAGGTCAGAATCCACTTTTGAGTCAACTCGATTGAAAGCAGCAGCAGCGGCCGATCCCACTGCACACACAGCATGAGCCAGCAAAGGACAGCATGGGCAGGCCATAGGCCCCAATCCAGTTTTCACTTGACTAGGAAATAAATACGGGCAGCACCGGCCGCTCCCCTCCCCCTCCCCCTCCCCCTCGCCTGCACACCTGGTCTTTGACAACAGCGCAGTTGAAGAGGCGCCCAGCCTTCTCCACAACCTCATACCCATGAACTCTTCAGCAAACCCCCAAAGCATGAGCAGACTTTAGAGTCGACTCAAAAGTCACACCCATGAACTTTTCAACAAATGCCCTGCCATTCCACAAACACCTATCCACCCTCATCCTCCCCCCCCCCCCCCCCCTGCACGCCTGGTCTTTGACAACAGCACAGTTGAAGAGCTGCCCAGCCTTCTCCACAGCCTCCCATCCATACAACTCAAGACCCCCAAACCACACCAGAAGTCCACAAACACCCATCTTTTTCCCCTCATCATCCTCCCCCTCCCCATCACCTTCACTGTACCCTCCCCTCTCCCCCGCGCACCTGGTCTTTCACCACAGCGCAGTTGAAGAGCCGCCCAGCCTTCTCCACGGCATCCCATCCGCCCGACACCCACCGTGCCGCTGTGAACCCCAGCGGCTCGAAAGATGCATCCACCCCGTACTCTGCCTTCAAGCGGTGCTGCACCACCTGGTGTGAGCGAGTTGGGGGAGGGGCGGGGGGAGAGGGGGAAGTGAGCGGGCAGAAAGGGGGGAATACGAGTGTGCCTCAGGACCAGGGACGCATCCACCCCGTACTCTGCCTTCAAGCGGTGCTGCACCACCTGGTGAAGAAGAGAGAAGAGAAGAGGGGGGGAAGGTGGCAGGGGGGGGTAGTGAGCGAGCAGAGAGGGGGGGTTTGTCTGTGCGCCTCAAGACCGGTGATGCCTGCACCCCGTACTCTGCCTTCAAGCGGTGCTGCATCACCTGGTGGGGGGTACAGGGTGGCGAGGGGAGCAGTGGGGGAGGGTGGGGGAGGCGAAGGGGAGAGAGGAGTTTGAAGGTGTTTGAGTTGATAAAAAGAACTGCTGTGAACCCCGGCCCGCTCAAGAGGCGAGGCGACGAGCGAAGGAGAAGACAAGTGTGTGGCAGCGCAGGCGTGCAGAGTGTGGGGGCTGTGGGGGCGGGGAGAGTGTGCATGCACAGTGCAAGTCAGCAGGACGAGGGAGGGAGCAGGGAGAGCACGCAGCAGGCATGGCAGCACAGCAGCACAGCAGCACAGCACACACACAGAGAACACAGCACAGTGAAAGCAGCAGCGCGACGCACCTCAAACTGCAGTTGCCCCACAGCAGCGAGGATAGGATCAGTGCGCGATGCATCGTTGGAGTAGAGCACCTGTACGGCGAGGCGAGGAGGCAGAGGCGCATGCGGCGCATGCGGAAGGGGAGGGCGGGGGAGTGCGGACCGTGGGAGGGGAGGAGCGAGGAGGAGTGGGGAAGGGGAATGAGGAAGGGGAAAGGGGAGTAGGGCGGAGGGGGAGCGGGGAAGAGTGAGGGAAGGCGAGTGTGGAGGAGTGAGGAGGAAGAGAGGGGAGGAGTGCGGGAATGGAGAGGGGGAAGTGAGGAACGGAGTGCGAAATACACAAGGTGAGACAAGAAGGGAGACGAAAAGGGGATGAACAGATGGGGGAATCACGGCACAACCGAGAGGGCAGGGCAGGTGGTTCCACAGTTGCACAGCCTGCATGCATGATGTGGGGAGCAAGTGAGAGGCGGACGGTGAGGCAGGAGGGGAAGACGAGGCTCGGAGAAGCAGGGGAGAGTACTGGCGGGTAGGCCCAACCAATGGACGGGGGCGATGAAGGAGAGACGGAAGGGCGAACCAACCAGTGGAGGGCCATAGGGGGAGCGAGCAAACCGGGGGAAAGAGGAGAAGAAAGAAGGATGAGCAGAAGTGAGAGGAGCGGTCGAAAGGTGGGGGCGTTGACTTGCTGACTCCCAATCTCACCCTCATGCTCACTCTCACTCCCATGCCCCCCCCCTTCCCTCCCACACTTCAGCACACACCTGCACTGAGCCCTCTCCCACCATCGCTGTTCACAAGACGCCTCAGAAACGCACAGCGCCCACTTGCACTCCTCCTCACTCCCTCCCAAGCATCACCAGCCACCTGCACCGCACTGCACCCACCTGCACGGCGCCCTCGCCTAGCAGCTCGGAGAGTCCCTTCTGGAACTGCTTGTACTTGGAGGGGTTGGGGTTGCGCAGCAGTGCAAAGAGCTCCGGAGAAAAGCAGGGGATGGGCGGGAACACACGGCGCGGCCCCGTGAAGATGGTGTCCCCAATGGCAAAGACACCAGGGTTGTTCAGCCCGATGACTGCATGGGGATGGGAGAGAGGGGAGAAGGGGGGTTGGGGATGGGAACAGGGCAGGAAATCAAAAGGGATGAAAATGGTGACCCCGATGGCAAACACACTGGGGTTGTTCAGCCCGATGATGGTGTGCGTGGGGAAGGAGAGGGGGAGTGGAGGGGGTGGAGGATGGGAAGGGGCTCGAAATTGTACAAGGGGCAGGAGATTGTACAAGGGGCAGGAGATTGTATTGTAAGGCAGCAGGGAATTGGGAAGGGGACGTGAGCAGTGGGGAACGTGACATCACCAATGGCACACACACACACACACACCAAGGGCTTAGACAGGGATTTGGATATAGGAGGGTTGATGTGGCGCCGACGTGGGATGAGAATGTGTGTCAGATGATTCCTCGCTCTAGCTCACACGATCAAGGGTTGCCTGGCCATCCAGGCAGCACAGCACCCTCATCTTCCCCATCTCCGCATCTCTCCCCATCTCCCTCCATCCCTTCCTTCTCCCCCATCTCTCTCCATCTCCCTCCATCCCTTCCTTCTCCCCCATCTCTCTCCATCTCCCTCCATCCCTTCCTTCTCCCCCATCTCTTCCCCATCCCTCCACATCTCCCTCCATCTCCCTTGCCTTCCCTTTCCCTCCCCGTCCCTCCCCTCCTATCTCCCCCTTCCTTTATTTCCAATCGGCCCAACTCATTCCCCTTGTTCCCCACCATGCCCCATTCCCCGCGCGCGCACCATCGCCAGCGAAGCCAGTCTCAACAACGGCCCTCTCCTGGGCGAACAGCTTCTGAGGGCGCGACAGGGCCACCGTCTTGCCGGTGCGCGCCAGCTGCACCTTCATGCCCTTGCTGAACTGGCCTGCACGTGGGGGGGGATTTGATGGTGCGGGGGGGATGGTTCAAGGGAGATTGAAGGCGAAATGGGTTTTGAGTCGCTCAAAACGCGCCAGCTGCACCTTCATGCCCTTGCTGAACTGCCCTGCACGTGGGTGAGAGGGTGAGGGGGAGGGAAGATGGTGGGGAAGAAGGTTCAGGAGACAAAAACGGGAGATGGAAAGGGGGAAATGGTACTGGAAAGAAGGAAAAGCGGAAGGGGTTTGACTTGCAGTGCATGCCTCTCCTGAGTGTGTGCGTGAGTGAGGGCTTACCTGAGCAGACTCGCACGAATGCCACCTTGTCACGGTGCTTGGGGTCCATATTGGCCTGGAGCTGGTGGGGTGCAGAACGGTGTAGAGAGGTGCGATGGGTGATGAGGGGAAGGAGGTAGGGAGGGAGGGTATGAACGGAAAGGGAGATAATAGATGAGTGGAGGCGAGGAGGAAGAAACAAAACGAGGAAAACGAGGAAAAGGTCTTGGTACAACTCATTCTGGACATCGCATCAAACAACAGGGTACGCGGGAGCAGTAGGGTCAATAGCATCAATCCATGAAAAACGAACACCCCACCACCCTCCCCACTCCCCACTCTCCCAACCCACACCCCACACCCACATCTCCCCACCCTCCCAGGGCAGGCACCTTGAAGACGAAGCCGGAGAAGTTGGGGTCGTGGGCGGGCAGGGCCCCAATGTCCGTGTCGTGCTCCCCGGGCGCCATGGCGTGCTGCAGGAAGCTGTCCAGAAACAGCTCCACCTGCAATTGGGGGGGACGAGCCGGGGGAGGGATTGGGGAAAGGGAAGCGGGGAGGGGGGAGGGGGGTGGTTATTAAGAGGCGCCTCAGAAGCCATGGCGTGCTGCATGAAGCTGTCCAGAAACAGCTCCACCTGAAGGGGAGGGCAAGAAGAGCGGGCCAGGTTGACAGTATAGAAACTGCTTGCGCGAAATTGAATTTGAAAAAAAAGTGACAACACCTACGCCGAGGAAAACTGGTTGAGCAAGTGAGGAACCTCAACCAAACAAATGGATTGTTGGAAGGAATTGGCGGAGCAGAGGATTAAAGAGCGAGATGGGGAAGGGATCGCGAAAGGGACTGGGTTGGGGAAGTGCGAGAAGACTGAGTAAGAAATTGAGGACGGGAGGGAATAGGGGAAGGAGGGAAATTAGGGAGGTTAAGAGGCACGTTCTCTGAAGGGGGTCCAAACAAGGAGACAAGAGAAACAAGGGACGAAAGAAAGTGGGAGAAGGGAGGGCATCAGGAGAGCACAAGGAGCGTGTAGGGAGGGCATGAGGGGGAGTGCGAGCGAGGGTGTGCGTGCAAGGGAAGGGAGTGGTGTGTGAGGGACGGCATACACCAAAGTTGTTCATGGCGCTGCCGAAGTAGACGAGTGTGAGGTCGCCCGTATGCACCTTCTCCACGTCCAAAGGCGGGGCCAGCTCCTCCAATAGCTCCACCTCCTCCTGTGCACGCCATGCCAGTGACAGGCACACATGGGCACGCACGGGGACACACAGGGGCAGACGTGACTCTTGAGTCGCCCGCATGCACCTTGACTTGACCACGTCCAACGGCGGGCCAAGCTCCGATAATAGCTCCACCTCCTCCTGTCGTGCTCAGCGGTGCAGAGGGGTGGACAGGGGTGGAAAAGGGGGGACGGGGGTGGTGGACGGTGGCAGAGAGGGGCAGAAAGACAGCAGCCAGGTGGACAGGGAAGAGGAGGACATGGGCACAGAAATGAGCGAGAAGAGGTTGGCATAAGGAGCACAACCCCGCAGCAATGTGACCTTCTTGAGTGGGCAGGTGTGTCTACTGACGCACAGGCGAATGGGCAAAAAGGCAAACAGTTGACAGACAGACCATGTCGTGTCGTGTGTGTGTGTGTGTAGAGGGACGAGGGGGGCATAAGTGGATGGGAGGGAAGAACTGGGGGGAATAGGAGGGGAAGTGCACGTGCAGGAAGGGGCGGGCAGGGAGAAAGAGTGACGGGCGGGAAGAGCACAGGACAGGAAAAAAGGAGGGAGATTCAAGTTGCATGCAAGAGAGGTTGCGAGGGAATGGACTCATGCATGTTGCATGCAAGCCCAGAGAAGAGACACCACCATGATGCTTGCTTGCTTACAACAGCACGCCCGACCCAGCCAACTCCCCACCCCATGGCCAACCATACCATACCATACCATAGCAATACTATACACTCGCCCTCCTCCTCATCCCCCGTCTGTCTCCTCCCTTCTTCCCCCCATGCGCACCATCCCCCAACATTCCCCACCCTCAACAACCCCCAACTACCTCCTGCACCCCGCACCACTCGCTCACCAGGAGCTGTTCCAGCAGGTCGGGCTCGACCAGCTCTGTGAGGCGCGGGTCATGGAGAGTCATGACGGTGGCCTGCACCTCCTTGCTGCCTACGATCACCACGCGGACCCACCCAACAACCCCCCCCCCCTTAGCACCTCTCTCACCAGGAGCTGTTCCAGCAGGTCGGGCTCGACCAGCTCCGTTAGGCGCGGGTCGTCGAGAGTCATGATTGTAGCCTCCACCTCCTTGCTGCCGTGGAAGCTGCCGCGGTCAAACAGATGCACGCGCTCACTCACCCGATCGTACACCCCCTTGAACCTGCCGCGCGGGTGGTGTGGGGGGAGAGAGACGGGATGGGGAGAGGTGGAGAGAGGATGGGGAACGGGGGGCGGAGGAGAGGAGGAGAGGAGGGAGGGAGGGAAGGGAGAGAGGGAGGGAGGTACGGATGGGTTGGAGAGACAACAGAAGATGACAAGAGCTGGGGGTTGTCAAGTTGATAACTGCGCTCGATCACACGAACGCCCGTCTGTAACTCAACTGGACCCAGGATGGGGACGAGAACGGGGAGCAGGAAGAGGGGAAGTGGAGAATGGGGAGCAGGAAACTGGGAGAGGGGAATGGAGAGTAGGGAATCGAGAGCGGGCAGGGGAGAGTGAGTGAGACAGGATGTGCGACGAAGGATGAATAAACGAACTCGAGATGCGGACGCACCTGTCCCTTTGTGAGCATTTTCATAAGTGCCTTCCATGATCCATCCATCCATGATCCATCCATCCATGTACCTGTCGCCGGAGCCGATGGGCCAGTTGATGGGGTGGCAGGGCAGCGAGAACTCCTTCTCGATCTGGTCCATCAGCTCCAAGGGCTCCAGTGCCGGCCGGTCCATCTTGTTGATGAACGTGAACACTGGCAGGTGCCGCATGCGACACACCTGGCGGGGTTTATCATGGACAAGTGGTGGGTGGTGGGGGATTTCGGGTGGGGGCGGGCGGGTGGGAGGGGGAGAGAGGGGTGGAGGCGGATGGAACAGGTGAGGTGGGCGGAGTTGGGAGAAGCAGGCAGGCAAGAGGGCAGGTTGTGCTGGGCTGGGGGTGGCCTGGGAAGGGAGCGGCATGGGGAGGGAAGAGAGCGCGTTGACTGGGCTCCAGCCTCCAGGGGCTCCTTGTGAGTGATTTTTGAGAATTCTCAAGAATGGCTCCAGCCTCCCCATGCCTCCAGGGGCTCCAGTGGCGGGCGGGCGGTCCGTGTGTAGTTGATGAACGTGAGCGGTGAACACTACAGGGCGGTGGAGATGGGTGGGTAGGGGTGGAGGGAACGGCGACGGACTTGGGAGAGGCAGGCAGGCAGGAAGGTTGTACGGGGACAGTTGTGGGAAGGGAGGGGGGAAAGAGGGCGCTGACTGACTGGCTTTCAGCAGCAGTCCTTGGCAGGCCGGCCAGCAGTCCCACTTGCTAATCACAGGGAGCACGGAACACGGGAGAAAGATAGCGCGTTTGCGTTTAGAAACTACAGGGCGATGGCAACACTAGTTTCAGGCGTGGTTGGGTTGGGTGAAGGTGGGGCACGACACATGAATGGCCGGTATACAGGAACTTGGCTGCTTGCTTTTGAGCTGCGCAGAGGAGGAGAGAGAGGAGCGGGACGGGACGGGAGAGAGGGAGGACGGGAGGGAGAGAGGGAGGACGGGAGGGAGAGAAGGAGGAGGGAGGAATGCAGGAAGGGAGGGATTGCAGTGAATAAAAATACCTACCCACCCACCTACCCCACCCACCAACCATCCCAGCAAGCAGAGAGTGGCACGCACGCACCTCAAAGAGCTTGCGAGTCTGGGGCTCCAGACCCTTACCCGCGTCCACCAGCATCACTGCATTGTCCGCCGCTGCTAGCGTCCTGTGGTGCGCGATGGGGGGTGAGGGAGAAGGTGGGAAACGGGGGGGGGTCGGGGGGACGGGGGAGACGGGGATGGGGCGAAGGGAAGAAATGGGAGAAGGGAGGGATGGTGGGAGGACAAGCGTCTTGGTGCAGGACAAGCAACGCCGCCTGCTGAAACAAGTAAAATAAAGGCACCCAACATCGGCACGCACACACTCCCACACCCACTCATTCCCTCTCCACCCCCACACACACACACACTACCTCTTCCCCCCCCCACCCTCCATTTTCCCATACACACACACCCACACCTACACCCACACCCACACCCACACCCACACACACCTGTACGTGTCCTCGCCAAAATCCTGCGCATTGACAACACGCACACAGCAGGCAGAAGCAGGAAGGAACCGACTATTGTCAATAGGTGTGTGTGTGTGCGGAAGAGAGGGACTGGAAAGATAGGCAGGCAGAGCTACCCTAAAATCAAAGCACTTGATTCACCTCCCTGTTGTACACTACGCTACGGCATCACAGACCTGATCTGGCGTGCACCTTTGAGGCGCCTCAAAAGACCTGGCATGCACCAGACTATGCACCGCGCAGCATGGCATGACACGGCATGCCGCCGATTGGATTGGAGGAATGGCAGCTGGTACTACAATGGTGATGATGATGGCAGGAAAGCTGGGTTACACTGCCGCCATGGGCTAAGACTGACAGCCCTTTCTCTCCCTTGACAGCATTCTTTTGCACCTTACGGCCCTCTCTCTCTCCTGACGGCCCCTTCTCTTCCCTGCTCACCCCTTCTCTCCCCTGACGGCCCTGTTTCTCACCTGATGGCCTGGCGTGTCGAGCAGCGTGATCTGCTTGTCCTTGGCCTCAAACACCATGGCCGTCGATGTGATGGAGATGCCTGCTCGCATGCCATGCCGTGCCATGCACCCATCCACCATGCCATGCACCATCCACCATGCCATGCACCATCCACCATGCCATGCCATACCACGCCATGTCAAGACATGCCATGCCATCTCATGCCATGCACCAGCACCATGTCATGCCATGCAGGCAGCCATAGCACACCCAGCCATGTCATCCCATGCCATGCCGCAACCCCATGCCATGCCATGCGAGATCGCTATTAGTTTACCAAGCGCAACACGGAGCGAAATAGGGCTGGAAGCAGGACTGACCGGCAGCCGTGGAGTTAAGGGAGGGGCGAGTGCAGATTAATGAGAGTAACAAAGGGAGGAGTGAGCGAGAGGCGCGATAAGGAGAGAGAGAGAGAGAGAGAGAGAGAGAGAGAGAGAGAGAGAGAGAGAGAGAGAGAGAGAGAGAGAGAGAGAGAAGCAAGGACTTAGCCTCTTCCCTCCTAGCCTCTTCCCCTCTCTTCCCCAGCTATATAATGGCCTCCTGGCCTCTGGTTTAGCTCATTCTTCATTCGGTGCTCCAATTTTTCCGGCGCTTCGCACCGGCGCTCGCGGGCGCGGCCTGCGGCCGCGCGTTCGGGACGACAAGATCAACAAGGATGACATATAGCAAGATGACAACACCGACGAACATGGCAGGCAACGACAACTAGGAGAGCAAACATGGAGCGGGTCTACTCACGCGCGAGAGGGGCGCCTACATGCGGTCGGCCTCAAGCTCACCAAGCGTTTCGCGCGTGGTCAACCACATCAGGCGGACCACTGACGCGGTGGCGCCGACAACGTCAACAGGAGTTCCGCGAGATCCAACAAGCGTCTTCAGATCCAGGGCCTTCTCGGCCAGCTGGGTGGCCGAGACTACTCCCGGCGAGGGCGCAACCTGCAGTGGCGATACGTACGAGAATAGCGCTGACGCCGCCGCATGACACCGTGCTCGTGGCATCTGAGAGAATGTGCTCGGTGGGGTCACCGCCATGGAGCCATGGGACTCCAGGAGTATCAGCTCAAGGCTCTGCAGGCTCTCCGCCAGCGACCACAAGCGCGCCAGGGTCACCGTGGGCACTTCCTTCATCGGCGGAAGGACAGCAGCGGCGCGCGTTCGGCGGGACGACACAGCGAGATCACGTGGAGGGGAGCGAGGACGCAGGGGTGCATACGCGGCCCAGGGATCCCCACCACCTGCGCCCACGAAGCCAGCCCCTGCTGGCAGTGGACGACCAGGACACGCAAGGGAGCCCTCAGGGTTGTGCGGCAGGAGGGCAGCAAGAGGAACGACGGGGCCAGCCGGCGGCACGGAATGGGATGACGCCTCCGCGTTCGAGCGGTGGAGCGCTTTCTCCACGCCGTCCAACCTTCGGAGAACGCGCTCAAGCTCGGACGGCGCTTGACGCGCAGTTCCGCCGCGTCCATACCCTCCCCGCTGCCCACGACGCCCACGTCCACTTGCATTCGAGTGAGCGGGCGACTGCTGGCGAGATGGGACGCGTTGGCGCTGGCGAACAGGGGATCGGCCCCCGTGACGAGGAGAGTAGAGCCGCTGGCGCTTTGACGGCCGCGGCGAACGCGCAGATGGGGACCGCGGGCGAGACACGTGCGGAGCAGGCGATCGATAGTGTGTGGCTTGGCGACCGGGCGAACGGTGATGACGCGACCGGCGGTCCAGAGATCGGCTCCTCGATGCCGCGCGGCGCGGTGAACGTGGTGAGTGCGGTGATCGCGGCTTCCGAGGCGACCGAGGCTCGGCGTGACGCTCCGCACGGTGGCTCTCCTGCCCGTCACCGCGCGCCACTGTCGATCGGTGACGAGGCGAACGTTCCCGGCGCGCCGCAGCCTCTGCGTCGGAGCGCACGACGGACTCCGCACGCGCAGGCGCCGGCGCGGGCCGCTGATCTTCGAAACGGCGACGAATCTGATCGGTGGCAGCCATCGGAGGGACAGGGACGCTCGCGGCAGGACGTGCAGGAGGAAGCGAACGGGGAGCGAGATCGCTCACCGCGGAACACCCGCGCTCAGGAGCAGCCAGGAGATCCATCGGAGCAGAGGGATGATAGCGCTCGCCCATCGGGCGGCCGACGCGGCGGAGGTAGAGCTGCAGGCCCGGGAGGGCGAGCAGCTGGGCGTGGCGGGAGGGCTCGAGGAGGCGGTCCGGAGAACGTGTACCAGCAGGCGGGACGGAGGGCTTTAACTGAGATGAGCAACGATAATAATTCAACCACTTCAGACGGCAGCTTTGTAGCTGCAGAATCTACGGACTCGACCTCTAGCTCTGAGTCACTGGAAGACGAGCAGCAACAGACCCCTGCTCGAGCGAGCAGGCCAGCCGCAACTCACCTGCCGGGGGGAAACTCAACAGTGAGATCCAACAGGAGGGGTCCCCCAACACCAACCCGTGCCGCATCGGGAAATTTCGCCACTCCACCAATCCCAACCCCGATTTCCAACATTCAGACCCCTACCCACACCGCCCCCCAACCTGCACCTGGCGGTAACCACGTCCCAACCCAACCCTTAGAGGAAAAATCCCCAGAAACTCTCGCCAAGGACGACACGCTTTTCGCCAGCGTTGTAGCCTGGGATCTCACGAAACTACGCGACTCTCGCCACGCACCCCTTTCCCGCCACCTCCCTCCAGACCCACGCAAGCTTTTCGCCACAGCCTTGTTGGCGCCGCTGCTGCGCTTGGCGAAATATCCAGACTCTACCTCTGCTTGGACGGTCGTTCTATTCCTGGCGCGCTTAACACTTCGCCAGCTGTCCCCACGACGTCCAGATTGGAAGGATGTCAGTGCCCGCCTTCGTCAGTTTCTGTCCGGGGAGTGGGATAAGCTATACAATGAAACAGTGGGCTCACTGACGTGGCCCCAACCACCTAGACACCAGCCCGATGACATTGGTGTCATCGCTAGGGCAGAGGGGTTGGCACGACGTGGCAGCCTACGACGAGCCGTGATGGCACTGGAAGCCACGCCAGTCAGCATTCCCTCCCCAACTGTGCTGGAGGCCCTGCGCGCCAAACACCCACCAGCGCCCGCCTCCCCACCTGACTGGACTTTTCCAGCACCTGACCCCCACCTATCAGCACCATTTGCAGTCTTCTCCAAGGTGCTGGGAAGCTGCGAGATGGGGGTAGGAGCGGGCCCCTCTGGAACCACGTTTGAACACTTACGCGATGCAGCGCTGATCAACCACTCCGTTGGGAAGCACCTTCACGCACTAGTCAACACGATTCTCACGGGAAACCTACCTCCTGCAGTGGCCGAGCTCCTCACCGCCTCGAGATTAATTGCCCTGAGCAAGCCCGATGGGGGGACGCGGCCGATCGCCATCGGCGAAAGCATAACGCGCCTCGCGGCCAAGACGGCGCTTACCTTGACCGCAGGGGCCGCCCGTGAGTTCTTCCTACCGCACCAGTTCGGCGTGGCTGTCCCTGGTGGGGCGGAAGCGATTATCCACATCACACGCACTTACCTCACGGTGAACACAGGAGCTTTGGTCCTACAGGCTGATCTGGCGAACGCATTTAACAGCGTCAACCGCGACGCCATCATCAAATCTCTTCGGGACTCCACCCTCGCCTCGCTCTTACCGTTAGTTAAACTGCTGTACGGCCTTCCCTCGGCTCTATGTCTGGATGCTGGCTTCTCACACCCACCTCTGCTGAGCGAGACCGGGGTGCGACAGGGAGATCCCCTCGGCCCGTTGTTGTTCGCTGCCGCCATACACCCTGCACTGACGAAAACAGCGCTCACCTTCCCCTCTGTCGTCTGTCTTGCCTATGCGGACGACGTAACTTTCCTTGGAGATGCAGCCACGTGTGCAGCAGCGTTTGAGGACTTCACAGGAAACCTTGGGGAGATTGGGCTGCGCCACAACCCCGCCAAATGCGCAGCCTGGTCCCAGGCAGGCCGACAGGGAGCTGCGCTACCAGTGGGCGTACCTTTCACTGAAGATGGGGTGAAGGTGCTTGGCAGTTTCATCGGTGGCAGTGACGCAACTGCTGCGTTCCTACGTGCCAGCCTCGACACCATGGGCGGGCCGTTGCCCTTAATAGCGCGGATGGAGCCACAGCTGGCTTCCCTTCTGCTCTCTCGGTGCATCTCACGAAGGATCGCTTACGTCGCCCGCACCACGCCGCTTTCAGCCCTGCCAGTCGAGGAGTGGTCAGACTGGGGTAAAAGGCTGTTTGAGACACTGCTCGATGCCTGCGGCATTCGCCACCCACGGGGGGAGGCCGAGATTTCACGTACCTGGGCGCAAGCGTCACTCCCCATCTCGCTCGGCGGTTTAGGTCTCACAGACCCCTCGGTGGAGGGGCGTGTTGGGTTTCTCGCAAGCTACACGCAAGCGCAGCACCTGCTCACCTCCATTGATGAGTCGGCGGTCGGCGCCCTGGCGGAAACGCGGACCCAGATGGTGGGGCCCTTCATCAACACGTCCCCGCTCTTTGACTGGCTGGAGAGGTGTGAGGAGTCACTGCCGGATGATGGGAAGGAGCTGCTGCAGAGCGACCGAGTTGATCCCAAGGGCGTCAAGCTGCAGCACGGGCTGGCAATCGCGGTCCACGTACTGCGCTACGCGGAGCAGGTGCAGGCTACACGCATCATGCCTCTCAACCCAATGAGCGGGCACACTCAGCGCATGCTCTCACTCTCAGGGTATGGGGCAGGAGACTGGCTCAATGCAGTCCCCTTCAACTCAACACTACGGCTTGCCCCTGCTCACTTTGCGCATGCGCTGCAATTCCGGATGGGGCTACCCTCCTCAGCTCCAGGCGCGTGTGACTGCCGCAAGGAGACAGCGATCCCAGACAGGCGGCTGCCCAACCACCTGCTGCGCTGTGACACAGGGAAGGGGCGGACCAACACGCACAATGAACTGCGCGATGCGTGTCTGCACATGGCCGCCGACGCTGATTTCATGACTCACAGTGAGACGACCACGTTCTGCCCCGTCACCCTTAAGAAAGCAGACATAGCGATCCGGG